AAGGGGTTTATGTCGCAAGTACAATATCAAGGTTGTGTCTGATGACAGCATTGGTGATCGCACGGGCGTGGTAGCCGAGGTCGTTCAGGCAATTGGCAAAGTGTGGGAAAGAGCTATGGACCCCGAGGCTTCATCCGACCCTTCGATTAGGAATTTGCAGGCCGCCTTTGATAAATTGTTGACGAGGGGAGATGAGTTTACCGAGATGGATCGTATGGACCTGGTTCGTCATAGCGAAATTCACCAGGAGGCGCTCAGATCCCTGCCTGACAGCATAGCGACAACGACAAAAGGGATGGACCAGGGTTTAAGTAGAAGATTAGATCACAAGACCGAGGTTGGTTCGCTATGTAGTTTGCACCCGGGCACGGTTGAAGATACCCGCTGCCGGATAGTGCTCACATTTAATTGGTCGTAAGACAAGCCTCCCGGCTCAATTAGTCAAACGAACACCTTTTCAACCCTTGCCTTTCATGATAGGAAAACATGATGAACTACGAAGTGACACTGCTGAAACCGGACACAGACTAACATCATTGAACATGCTATGTATTTCGCACCCGGGCATGAATGACTAACATCATTAAACATGATAGGTTTAACTGACGAATGAAACTTTCTTGGACCGGGTGGAACGAACACTTTCTTCAGCAATCTTTTTCGACCGTTCTCAGGTTACTATACCGAGTTCCCCTGTAGAAACCTTGCCTTTCATGATAGGACGAGGTTTTGGTTTTGGCTTGGTGGGGACATCAATAGATGGTTGCTGACTGGGACCGGCCTCTGACTCCTTTTTTGAAGGGACTGGTCATTTTGCGTTGACACCACTTGACTTAGTGAAATCAAAGCTATTCGAAGCTTTGGTTGTGTCCGACCTCAGATTGGTTGCTTGAGCTGGTTTGACAGTGGCTTGGATAACAGCCGAGGCAGCTCGGCATTTGACTTTGCCTGGTCAGGCACTCCTCGGGCCAAGTTTGTAACCCTTCTCTAACCGAGGAAACTTGCAGGGTGTATCCTCCTCATCAGTGAATTTTCTCTTCTTCGCTCGATCGGCCGACTCCACCCCACAGCCCAGGTCAGCTTCCCAAAATGTATCATCAGCCAAGACCTCAGTGTCCGATGGTACTTCATGGGAGAGAGCCCGGGTGTCGTTGTACCGAGGCTGAAGCTCGGGGCTGGTATCTACAGTGATTGTAGCATCGTCTGAGCCCAAATCTGATCCCGAGTCTCTATCCTCTTCCAAGGTCGGGTTGACCCTGCTAGGTTTCACTGTGGGCTCGGTCAGAGTATCCTGCTTTGGCCTCTCTTGACCATTATCGGAGTCTGAGTCACTATCATCAGAGCCATCCTCACGATGTTCGTCATGCTGTTTGGTTGGTTTCTTGGTTGGTTTCTCCACGTCCAAGTCTTTCTCATCGTCATCGGAGCCATCTTGAACAGGAGTCCAGTCATCCTTAAAAAATGTTCGGTTCGTTTCTTGCCCGGTTTGTCACATCCAAATCCTTCCACTGTTGGCATCCAAATGGCGATCCTTCCACCCCTTCCTTCTCTTGGGCCTGGCTTCTTCATCTGACGGTGACTCGGTTGCTGCCCGGCCTCTTCCTTTGACCCTTGCTTCTGCCGGGCTTCTTGCCCTTCCCAACACTATGAACATGAGGTTTAGGAACGTGAACTTTGATTTTCCTTCGTGGAGGTGCTTCCAGCAGCATTTTCCCCTCAAGAAAGGATTTAAATCGAAAGGCAACTTTGTGTTGTTCTTGACGTTCATACCAAAACTGGAGAGCTTCAGTGACCATCTCCATCGGGAATTTGGAGGGATCAAGAAACTTGTAAAAGTTGTTACCTTCTCCATTTACTGATCTCCAAGCCGGGGGTATATATTCTAGATCAATGAAGTCAAGTAACTTTGATCCAATAGCCGTCCAAGGAGCCGATCCCTTACTCTGCCCAGCTGCAAGATCTAAGTAGACAAATGTTTAGTGATACAGGGCAAGAAATCTCTGGGGACCGGCTTACTATAGTGCTGGTTGACAAATGTACGAAGAACATTCAGCCGCCAAATTCGAATATCACGGGAAGTTTTAAGTGGTGGTTTTGATGGATTGGGTAGAATAGGTTCCAGGTATAGGTTCTTCTCCAAAGTCATAGCACCCCGGGATCGGTGTCCTCCTTCGGCCGAAGCAAGATCCTCCAACCCATAGTATTCTTCATTGTGTGCTCTCCAAGAAGATACCGATATTCCTTCCTCATGGAAAGTCCGGCTATGGTTATCAATAAAGTCTTTCCCATTCCCGAGTTCTTGATTGAAGTCGTACGTCGAGATGTCCAAATTACCATTGGGCTTCAGATAACATCCTAAGATAAAGACCCGGACACCCATTGTGTCATAAAGTTCCTTGGAAAATGCATGCATCTGAGCCGTGCAGTTCTTTACAGCCAGTCTACCAAAGGTCCAGATAAGCCAACGTTAGAATAATGAAAATTAACTTACTTGGACTTGAGTTCCGGGTCAACTCCCTTCTTGTTGTACTCCTCGGCCGTCCTCTGCAGTACGTCTTTCTCCCTTTTCTTCAGTTTTCCCATCATTTGAGTCACGACCCGCTCCCGAAAATCAAAATGAGTGGGATCTCCCCCTTTAGGCCTCTTTTGTCCCTCTTCAATGGCTTCGGCACAAAGCCTTTTCGCTTTGGTATCGATGGTGTCCTTGTTCTCATGCTGGAACACACGCCGGGCATGCCACGACTTTCCCATCCTCGGCATTTTCTGACTTCTCTTACGACTGTACCGGGCAAACCACTCTTTAATATCCTACAAGTCCGTCAGGAATCAATTAGAGGGCCCCTGGAAAAAGTACTTACTTTTTTAACAGCTGATCTTTCTTCCTTCTTGAACGATTTTCCATTGGGGAGTATGTCGAGCATGTCTTGCAAAACTCGAGAAAATATCTCAGCACGAGCAGCGTCGTTGGCGTCTCTGTACTCCTCCCGATGTTTTTCCAATAGAGCACTTTCTTCATCGGTCCAATGCCTCCCGGACCCATGGTGCTTGGTTTGACTGGAAAGTGGGGCAGATGGTTCAGGGGATTGAGAATGAGTACTCATAATGATATAATTAATGGTATTTGGGAGCAAAGAGGTAGATGGAAAATGGTAGTCGGGAGCAGAGAGGGAGAACAACTCATGCCAAATACAATGAACAAACAATCACCCCTGATTCGGGAAAGGGAATTACTTTATATATCATCTATCAAAAATATACATAACTGATCGGCATGGAAGATCGAACACGAAACGGAA